AGAGTAGGTGCAGCATTCCCAGCCAACAAAAAGGGAAGATGCAGCAAATGAATTAGAAGCGTGAGCCTGACTACCTCTCCTGACAACGTTGTAAATAATTAACTGCTTGTGGACCACACACTGCAAAAATACTGTGACAGTGCAGGCCTGCTGCACTGGATCATGTACATGATGCACGCTGTCTGTGCTGTCATTTGCTACAGCACAAGCCAATCAGCTGGTCTCGGTCAATGATTTATGGCTGGGACCTTCTGATCGGCTGAGCAAATTACAGAAGAGAGCCTTGTGTTGGTAAATAACACAGGGCTTTCTACAGACAGCAGCAATACTATGCACAGTAAACATTGTTAGGCACACAGTTAACCCTTTGATTGCCCCTAAATATTAACCCCTTCTCAACCAATGTCATTAGTACAGTGACAGTATAATTTAACACTGATCACTGATTTAGTGACAGTTAGTCATTTAGTGTCAGATTGCCAATAGCGCTATCACAGTCCCACTATAAGTCACTGATCACAGCCATTACTAGTATAAAAAAAAAAAAAACAATTCCAGCATATATGCCATCATTTGTAGACACTATGACTCACACACATTTTTGTTTACCAAAGACATGTAGCAAAATACATTTTGACCTAAATTTATGAAGAAATTTGATTTTATAATTTTATAAGTTTTTTTATTGGATATGTTTTATAGCAGAAAGTAAAACATTTTTTTTCAAAATGTTCAGTCTTTTTTCATTTATATAATAAAAATAAAAAAACACAGTGGTGACCAAATACCACCAAAAGAAAGCTCCATTTGTGTGAAAGAAAATGGTGTAAATTTCATTTAGGTACAGTATTGCATAACCGTGCAATTGCCAGTTGAAATAGCGCAGTGCTGAATAGCAAAAAATGCCCTGGTCATGAAGGGGGAAAAAGCTTATGGAGCTTCAGTGGATATTTAATATTGATTGCTTGATTGAATTGCTGCCAGGTGCCTGGCTGACATGCTGAACTGGAACGAGTGTGCAAATCAGAACTTTTCACTTGCATGGTATTTACTGACTCCCTTGCCTTTCCATGCCTCAGAAAATCCATGGTATGTAATAAAAAATGAAAATATTTAATTATTATTTATTTCAGGTACTTATATAGTGCTGTCAATTTACGCAGTGCTTTACATATATTTTGTACATTCACATCAGCCCTAACCCTCAAGGGGTGAACAATCTATAGTCCCTATCTTACATAGACATACTAGGGCCAATTTAGACAGGAGCCAGTTAACCTACCGGCATGTCTTTGGTGTGTGGGAGGAAACCGGAGTACCCAGAGGAAACCCACACAGTCACAGGGAGAACATACAAACTCCAGGCAGGAGGAGTCCATGGCTGGGATTTGAACCAATGACCCTAGTTAGTACAGACGGAAGTGCTAACCATTTAGCCACCGTGCTGCCCATTTAAAAAAAAAAAACCCTACATTTGTTAATAATTGTATGTAAACCACTATATATTGCATTTTTATAACTTTAATGAAGGGATTCCATTTCTACCAAAACACATTGGCTACTGGCTTCTAACTGTACTCCAAAAAGCTGTGTGAATGAATCAACAATCTGGTCATTTCAAACCGCTAAGCTTGGAATTCTGGTGCTTATACACCCTTATACCCCCTAGATTATTTTCTATGAGCAGACACGCATTGGGGTTGATTTAATAAAGGCAAATAGACTGTGCACTTTGCAAGTGCAGTTGCACTCTGCAATTTCATTTGCTCCAGAGCTTAGTAAATTAGGTGAAGCTTCACTTTGCAAAGAATACCCAATACATGCAAGGAAATTTTTTTTTTTTTTAAATGCATATTTTGCTTGCACAAGATTTGATGATGGAAGTCAGCACTGCTTCCCCTCATTTACTAAGCTCTGGAGCAAATGCCATTGCAGAGTGCACAGTCTATTTGCCTTAAGTAAATCAACCCCAGTGCCTCTGCAGTTTCTAAGGCTGCCATGATGAAAGCAAGGGACAAATCCCTACTCCTGCCACTGGTATATGGCCAGGATATCCCAGAGAGCCTCCACCCTAATAAAGGCCATCAGGTAAGCAGGTAGAATTTTCAGAAAAAATGTGAGCAGTGGAAGCCTTTTCTTTCAGTACAGGTCTTTCTAACATCTGCAAGGAATGCTGACTTACCCATCTGGATGTTCCAAGACTGCAAAGACTCTGCCATAAAATAGTCCATTGATTACCTAGGACAGCGCCTGTTTATGGAACTCTAGAACCCAGCCCTTTTGCTATGTAGACAGTCCAATATGTAGTCACAACCAGGGACGAGTCAGCCCTTCAAGGCTGTATATATCATAATGGCTCCTTTGGGCCAGTGACAATGGCAGCAAGGTTGGTGAGGACAGTGCCAAACCTCAAAATGTACAAATTTCTTCAATATTCCCTATTGCAGCAAGAGATTTGTAAGAGTAAAGTGGTACAGATGATGGTGAGAGAAGTCATAAGCAAAGTCACAGCAAACATGAAGATACAAGTGAACAATACCTAACAACCTAACTAATACCTAATTAAATACCTAACAAACTGACAAAATACCTAACAACCTAACTATTATACAATATATACAAAATGCGAAACAGAGATCACAGGGAACACCAGAGATGCAAGAAAGGGGGGAATCAGGTTGGTTATAGGTTGCAGGCAAGAGCAAGATCAGGAGCAGGATAAATAGCACACAGAATCTGACTAGCAAAGCAAAACACTGACGCCAAGTGTAAGACTACTTTCACACTGATTCCAGAAAAATAGGATATTTGTTTTTTTTACTGTGTTTTTTGTTCTGTCAGGGAACAGCGGGTGAACAGCCCACCGAACGCCCTTACCGTTCGTGAGCTCGCCAAAAACACGAACGGCCGATGTTGGAGTCGAACATCTAGGCCAACACTATATGCAAAATGTACCCAACTTTCACCCAAAATTCACACATTTCCCAATGGAATTCTGTTTGGAAAATGTGTGATTCCTGGGTGAGTGTTGTATGAATTTCCAATGAAAAAATGTAAAAATAGACCCCCAAGTGCCTTTTTTCAGTTTAAAAAAAAACATTTAGTTTCATTTTGCATCTGCAGTTCAGACGTAGATGAGTCAGCAGTGTGATGACTGAGCTGACAATTTTTGCTTAGCCTCAATTTAGATATAGATCAGTCTGATCTGAAAAGAATCAAGTAATTCAGGTTTTCAGGCCGTCATAATATATTTTAAACATTACATAGTTAGTCTGGCTGAAAAAAGACAAAAGTCCATCCAGTTCAACCATAGAAAAAAAAAGTTATAATCCTATACCCACAGTTGATTCCAGAGGAAGGCAAAAAACCCAGCAAATTATGATCCTATTTGCTCCTGCAGGGAAAAAGAATTCCTTCCTGATCCCCCGAGAAGGAATCGGATATCATCACTTTACTTATAAATGTTAGTATCCAGTTATATTCTGTGTATCTAAGACAGAGTCCAGGCCTTTTTTGAAGCAATCCACTGAGCTGGCCAGAACAACTCTTGAGGGAGTCTATTCCACATTTTCACAGCTCTCACTGTGAAGAAACCTTTCCGAGCATTGTATTGCAATTTAATAATTTTACTATTCATTGTAGCACATGCTGTTTCCATTCTAATGTATCAAGTTACTCTTACATTCCTATAAATTGTTATGGGAGAGAAGTGGTTCTAATGTGAATAAAAGCTTGTCAACACAGAAGTGTTGGAAGCAAATAAGGGATTACCATTTAGGCAAGTCCTCTTGAGTCATAAAAATAGCTATGGAGCCGTATGGGACATGTTACATTTGCTGACAATGTTGAGCTCTAAACAGGAAACATCAGCAATTATGAAATACAAACAGATTGCAAAGTTATTTTAAAGGATTATATATTTGTAGAACATGAAATAGTTAATTATATATGTATGCATCATGAATTTCCCAGAAGTTCCACTTCTTGAAAGTATCAGACAGGTGTAAAACATATGCCTAGGAAAAATAAATAAATGTATTAAGTAAAAGTATTAATTTTCATTTTAGGTGAATGATCCATTCCAGTGTTCTTCCCTGAGGTGGTATATATCCTAACCCCAGTTCTGTGGACAATAGTGCCTCTTTCTCTAATGACTTGCTAAGTAGATAGACATACACCATCTGTGAAGCAGATGTTATTGCGCTAAATGGGTGTTCTGATACGACGATTTTCCTCACTTTTGGCGTTGTGCTTGCATTGCTCTATCTGTAAGAAGACAGGTGGGAAAACTTGCTGATTTTTAGTTTGTTGACAATAGTTTCATATGTTTTGGTATGTACTTATGTCATTTGCATTCATCTGTTGGAAACAGCATCTGGTTTGAAAGGCTGTTCACAAGTAGAGGAAACTGTGAAAGAAAGGCTATAAATAGTTTATTCCATAAAAGCTTGTAATAGTTTTTCATTTAGGCATATGAAATCTCTTTCATTGCACCTCATGACTCTTCTGGTGGTAAATATATTTGCTGTTGTCATTGTTAAATATATAAGCCTCACATAATCCACGTCATTACCACAGGCACCAGAAGTAAGAGGATAAACTTTCTTTGTCTCGGTGTAGCCACTGAGCAATTTTTGTAATGCAACACCTGAGGCGCTACTACCCATCAATCCAGAACCCAATGGATGAGTATATACCTGGTGCACAACTGCAGCCTCCACAAGCTGCTGGTAGATGCAATCAAACTGTAAATGGAATCAGCAAGCCGGTGAATGAACAGCATGGCATCCTTTATTGTAAACTTCGGAGTTAAAAGTTCCAGAATACATGTAAACACTTGTAGGCAGGTTGCCTACAATTGGGTTTTGTCTTAGGCTGCCCAGGTGGGGAAGTAGGTTAACGCTTCTGGTCTCCTTTCCTGGGTTTTTCTGGTTCTGCCTTCCACTCTCTGTGATATAAATAGGGGAAGAGTTGGACCAGGCGATAGCATGCTCTCGCTTTGACTAGTGTCTGCTACCATTGACTGAGGTCGCTAGAGGAATCTGTCTCGGAACACCAGACTACTGGACAGCTACCATTCTTTGGGAAATGCCGTTTGTGTACTGTGATAGGTATGCCTGGGCAGATACAGTCAGACACAGGGGCGGACTGACCATTTGGAAACTTGGGCACTGCCCGAGGGCCTGGGGTCAGTAGGGGGGCCCCATGAGATGCCCCTGGTACCTTTTTCATAGGCTTTTTTGAGTTTGGGCAAGGACACAGGGGCCCCATGATCCCCTATTGCCCGGGGGCCCCATGAGTTGTCAGTCCGCCCCTGGTCAGACAGTAAGTGTTAAATAGTTTGCACTGTATGTGAACACTTTTAAGTACATTCAGTAAAGCTTTTAAACATTGTGAGCATGGTCTGAAGTTATTCAAATGGGTGCGTGGTAGATTTTGATGTATCAGAAAAACAAGGCCTGTAAAGCACTATGGGGTATGAAGAAAAGGCCACTACTAAAGTTTAATTCAGCAAAATATGTTGAAGGAGGAATACAGTTGCTATGGGTAAACGGTGACTAGTGCAAAGTACACAGCAGCCAGTTATGAAGCGTGGCACCTGGCATGGATGCTGGGTTCCTCCAGTATCGAGGAGGTTGGCTGGCTCACTCCTTAGCAGTCAGTTCCCTGAGTTAAGGCCTCACCCCACACGGAGACCAACAACCTAGCAGGCAGGGTACAGGAGAGAGAGAAGAGTTGACTGAGAGCACTCATGAGGTCCACACATGTGCTTTGTAGAATCCCATTCTGTCACTGAGAGTGAGGTGCCAGAGGTATGCTGGACTGGTGGAGAGGGCATGGGCTCTGCGCTGTCTCTCCTAAATGCAAATACTTTACAGCAAGGTGTGCAGTGAGATGGGACAGTACATTCACAGAGGAATTCTGTAGGTCATACAGCTACGCACAGTGTAAAACTCGTCTCTATGTAGGAGATTATGTCATGTGAGCATGAACACGGCTTCACCTGGTCCCGGGCATTGATAAGCATGCACACAAGCAAAAATGTACCCCATGTGCACTGGTGAGGTGGCCCTGCCCACTTAATGATGGGTTTCTGTCCTCATTTAGTCATAGCTGGCAGCATTAAAAGCAGACTACAATAAATAATCTTTCCTATTGTGAGAGCTGAGGGTGGGGGTTACAAAGAATTGAACCCATCCATTAACAAACTATTTTACCCCTGAACTAGCTAGCTAGAAAGAAGCTCTGATATTATCTGACATTAAGGATTGGAGTGTCCCAGGAGTTAAGTGAAGTATAAGTAGGACAAGACGTCAACAAAATGGTGGCCTTCTGCACACTGTAATGGACTCCCTGTTGCATAAATGTGAATGAGATGGGCAAAAGATGGCTTCAGCTCCTGTTCTCCACCTGTAGAAAACTCCAAAGACGCCTTTTGCCCTTTTTGGGGCTTACTTGTAGAGGCCTATACAAGTAAGTCCCCCAAAAAGGTGAAAGGCATCTGAGGATTTCTCTAGAGGTGCATAAAAAGAGATGAAGCCATCTTTTACCCATCTCATTCACATTTATGTAACAGGGAGTCAATGTTTGTGTGCAGACGGCCACCATTTTGTTGAAGTCTTCTAGAGCCTGATGAGCTGATCCTGTCTGTCTGTCAGGGCAGGGGCCGAGGAACGGACAGGCAGGCCTAACAATGTAACGCACTGGCTGACGACAACCACTACCCACAGACCGAAGTCCCTCAGGGCGCGGAGTCTAAGTCCAGGCTGCCCTTCACCAGGGCCCCTGATGGTGGGGATGGACTTGACGCAGCCAGGAACCAGGTCGCGGCCCCCAAGACACCTCAGCTGCGGTAATGGCCGCCGCCAATGGCGTGTAGCTGGTGGAAGAGACAAAAGAGTAGTCAGACAAGCCGGGGTCAACAACAACAGGACAAAACAGTACAGGACAGCAGACGAGAATCACAGGTCACGAGCCGGGTTCAGCAACAGAGGGTCAGATCAAGGGAGAATACAAAGAATAGTCAAGTCACAAGCTGAATCAGATACCAGGAGAGTCACGAGAGTCAGAACAGAGTAATAGCAACACAAAGACACAAGACACAAGTGCAAAGAGCATGTGCGGGCCACAGGCTTATATGTCATCAGCCACACCCCTCTGGGGGATGGACCACAGAGACCTGAAGGCATAAAAGGATTCCCATCATGCACAGCAGAATCCAAGATGGACGCCAGCACATGGAGTAACATAACCTCAGGGAAAAGGTAGGACCTTGACACTGTCTTGCATCAGTCTATTCACATGCTGATCTGACTGACACAGGTTTAGGGGGCATTTGAGCAGTACTATTCTTTATTGTTTAGGGCTACGTATATAAGTATTGCAATTGCAGAGATTCTGTCACTTAGCTTGCTCTAAAGAAGCAAAGTGATAGAATATCTTAAAAGGCATTTCAAGGGATGCCATATACTATGGTCAATAAGACATGTCTAATGTCACCACAAATTCTGTGCTGGCATCTTGAAGATTTAATAAATAAATTAATTGGATCTAGGAAGAAAGAATTCTGACAGGTCTTGTGTGAAAACTAAATACAGTTATGAGGAAAAGAAATCTGAAAATCTTTGGTCAGATATTGAAAATGAATAGTATTTTTAATAGCTTTAAATTAGGAGGTGAATTAGGTGTCAGTTACATATTACACATTTAAGTTTTTAACACAACTGGGGTTTTCCTTTTGTCGTTTGTTTAATGATAATAGTATAGCTGTATCCTTCTAATAACTATATTCTTTATGCCTATTAGTATCATAGATTTCTTGGGCTTGGAAATGATGAGGTAACCTGAGTTTTAACTAGAGGTAATTGAACTGGTGGTATTGAACAAATTCTGTGTGTGTTTCCAAATGTATAAATTCTCTTCTTTGTAATTTTGTCCTTTTATTTTTTCAGTTTCTTCCAATCCATTAGTGGATCTGCTAATCCTAGACTGGAGCACATGAAAGCAATGACACAAAATTCTTGTGACAGAGATTTAAATAAGAACAGAAAATAAAGTACCATCAATTTGCACTCCCAGAATGAAGATGGCAGGTGTCATTCGCACGGGCAACTTTCATTAATCTATATCCTTTCATTTTGAATCACAAAACAGACTTTATTTTTCTATTGGAAAATGCATGTAAAAATGACAAAATGTGCCTAAAGTGGAGCTCCAGTCAAAATGTAAAAAACAGACACTTACCTGTCCCTTGATCCAGTGGTGTCCTCATCACAGCTGGTTTCACCAGCTGTCGTCTTTCCCTGGTGCTGGCATCTTAAGTGTAGGCACCCAGCTGTGACAGCTTGCAGCTTCACAGTTGGGTGCCCACTGGGCATGCGCAAGTAGTGCTGTGCCTTACGAATGGTCCTGAAGTCTTCTGGGACCTGTCATGTGTCCCAGAAGATGACAAGGGGGGGGGGGAGGACAACTTCCGCTTCCAATTGCCTAGGCGATTGTAGCTTAAGTGGGAGCAGGTACCTGTTGAAATCGGGTACCCACTCCCCAAAGGTGCCAATCACAGGGGTTTTTAATAGAAAACCACAATTCTCTTCTGGTTAGTGTTGAAATTTAGTAAAACAAAGAGCATTTCAAATACAAGATTTCACAATGACTCTCTTCATTCTCTACACTCTCTACAGTTTTTAACTACTTGGCCATTGGGTGAGGATTGGAATTGTGGGATTGCATTGGGTGTAGTTCCATCTAGGCCCCAGAGCCTGGTTCAGTTCAAGTTACATCCACCCCTAAATCAATAGGTTTTGTGGGTAACTGTATGTTTTGTGAAGTTTCACAGTACTGATGTATAATAAAAAACAGTGCTCGACTGCTAACATATCACGCCAAATGAAAAGGATGAACAGTGTTGCTCAATTATTTCCAAATACTAAATTAATCAAAAAGTGTCACCCACTATGAGAAAACACATTGTTAATAAATACCCTGCTTCCCTACTAGTACAATGTGCTAAACTTGAAGAAAGCGGTAAATCATAAGTGAGTTTGAGTGAAAGTGAATTAAAAGAAACCCCCCAATTGACAAAAACAAGGGAAGTAGACACAATACTGTCCAACTAACACAATACTGTATGTAGATAAATAAATCAATACATTATCAAACACATGATTGTAATGCAAATAGTTGTGGTGAAATCACTTGAATATTAACAAAAAAGTAATCAAATGTGTAATCAGCAGCTTATAGGAATAGATGGCAGCAATTTTAGCAGCATATTTACCTCTTATCAAAGGACAGTGTTTGGAAGTGACTATGGCCCAAATAGGCCTGCATGGCAACAAGAATTGTAATGTGTAGCAGTAAAGTGGTGGTCAGAGACCCTCACACCTAGTTCTTCTGCGGCAGTCCAGAGTGAATGCAAGTTTTCATTCAGTGGAGGCTCCCCTTAAATGGCAATGCGGTTGTGGCAGTCTGGATGCACGCATTCCTCACAGCAACTCCAGATGTTGAAGAGTCTCCCCAGAATGGTCCCCTTGTCTTAACGCTCAGCACAGCAGTCTGCTCCTTGGCTCTCTAGCAGCTCTCTTGAATACAGCACAGCTCAACACAGTCACTTAAAATAAATAGTGTAGCGCTAATAATACTAACAATTATGTGTTAAAATGCACAAAACTCTATATACATCCCCTACATATATATATCCAAAGTGATAAATCAATACATAAATAATAAAATAGTTGTGTCATACGTGAATTCCCTCACGGGGAATATTTAGTGAAAAAAGTGACAAACACACTCCTATTTGCACATTGTGAAACAATATGTATACTGGTGCACAAAATTAGTGAACAAATAATCAATTCAAAAAGTCCAAAATGATATAATAATAATAATCCCCACACTTCACTCTTCATGCAAGAATATATAATGTGCCATATACGTGGTACACACGTGCCAATCCTTTACCAGCCAAAATACCCCCTCACCTCCTTCATTAGACCCCACAGGGTCAACACGCTTTGAGGATCAAGTGATCCTATCAGAATGGGTCCCTCTCAGGCTTTCCCCTCACGTCTCCAGCCTCCAACAGACTAACAGCCAGCTCCTCACAGGATCATGATAAGACACAAGCAGAGACCCTCCATAGTGCAACCGGTTTTTATTGCATCAAATATAAAACGACAATAAGTATTACACTCACATTTGCCCACGAGTTTTCCAGCTTTTTACCACATGCTATGGGTGTACTGCATGGGTGTACTCAACAGGGTGATCCAATACCACGCCGGAAATTACGTCACT